TGCTAATTCTTCAAATGATATAATTTTGTGCATTCTGATTATAATATGCCGAAATATATGTTAACTGTTATATATTATTGGATTATAATAGTTAATTAGTTTCCGTTATATACTATTATAGTTAAACTATATATTATTAATACTGTTAGTGAATCTAGCGCCCAAGTGTCGCTATGGTAAACAAAATAGAGTGAATTTTAAAGAATGCATTTATCTATTGTGGTTTGCGCTGTCGGCGAAGTAGATTAATTTAATCCAATAAATTTAAATGAAATGCAAAAAAATGGTAATAATTATTTCAATCAAGAAGTCATGTGGTGTACACACAGTTTTTTCTTTAAAATGATTGAATTATGTTGTTTTTATCTTCTGGTTAAGGGTTTTATGCCTTTAGTACATCTGTATACCAAAAGTTTTAACTCTCAACTTTAAAAGTTGTTTCGTGCCGCAAGCCTATTTTGATGGAGGTCATTGCTGTTACATTGAAACAGCTGAGTGTGAATTTGTTGCCACTCTAGAGAAACGTAGCTTCGCAACACCAAACATAAACGCCTTTTTAGTATTGCGATTTAAATCATGCTTAATCCTTTCTGGATTTTTGCGAAGAATAAGTGTTTAAGCTTTCTGACTTTTTATTAATTAGTATTTTTATTGAGTAGAGATTTTTTTAGTTTTTGCTTTGCGCGAAAAGTGAACTGAACTAATTGATGAAAAACTCAATCGTCTGTGAAAACTGTTCCTTTTTGTTTTGTGCTTAATTCTTTTATACATCGTCTAGCTTTATAGACTTGAATAGACTATGGGCAACGATTAGATATTTTAAATGATACAAATTTGTGCAGTTTGAGTTATAATAGAAACGAAATATAATCTGTTAAGTGAACCTAGCGCCAGAGTGTCGCTATGTTAAGGGAATCGAGTGAATTTTAAAGAATACATTTATTCTATTGTGGTTTATGCGCTGTCGGAAAAGTAGATATAATTAAATCCAATAAGGTTAAAAAAAATGGAAGAAAAAATGCGTATAATTTAATATTCCGTTCAAGGAAGTCATGTGGTGTAGACTTCAGATTTTTTATTCAACGCTTCGGTGACAAAATATCTGTAAATCTTTCAAATGATTATCTTCATCTGAAAAATAACTGATGTCCAGATATTTTCTTGAGGGAACCGTTGTATTGATATTCACCATTAATTGATGATTTTTTCGCATAAAATTTAAATGAATATTTATTACATAGTATTAGAGGAAGTAATATTTTGTAAATGTGTTTCCGGCCCCTCATAATTTCAACTCTTGGACGTGCTTATTTTGCCACACGCGTTATAAAACGCTAATTGACTTGACAGTGTCTCGAATTCGATTTCACCTCCTTCCCTTAATTAATGATTTCCCTCATTAACCCTAACCGGTTTAGAATCGGCTGATTGGGACGCAATTACATCATTATAACCGGCACTGCCTTTATTTACCATGATTAAGAATCCGGTTAAACGACGTAACAGTCCGGGCTTCCTCTCCTGGATTGTCACGATCCGGCACTTGGAGCCCTGACAGGCTACTCTCCATCAAAAACAATTTAATTGGGTTGTCTTTGAGCTCTTCAAAAGAATCCTCGTGTAATGCGGTGCGCAGTCGGAAGAGAGAAAATTGTGCATATTTTTTTTTTTTTTTTTACAAAATTTGTCTCTCTTCCTATGAATAAAATTAATCCAATCATCTTTGTTCTCTACTTAATTTTTTCCCTACTCCAAAATTTGCTTCTGTGAAATTGTACTGAGCGTATGAAAAGAAATTTTCAAGTAATATCTGTCTGAAATATAACTTATATAGCTGGGTCTTTCTCTAAATATTCCTCTTCCTGAAAGGATAGTATTTCCACCGTGGTGAATTCCATTTAAGACTTTCCACGTATTTTTTTCTTTCCAGAGAAAGTGAATGAAGGGAGTTCCAGCTCTGAGTCATTTCTGATAATGTCACTTTTACTAACTGCTTACCTTTCAAAAGTAAAAATGCTTTGTCTTAAAGATATCAGGACGCTTCTTTCTCTTTTCCTCTTTTTACTGTACGAAGTAAAGGAAATATTGTAATCACAAAAAATTCCGGGTACTATATTTCAACGAAAATATCCATTTTGACCGCTATCGAATGCAATTTAACGACGTTTTTGCTTGACCCTATGAAAAGAGTGATTGCTGACAAGAATCAGCCTCGAATAAGGACGCTTTTCCCCCCAACGGATAAAACTGGAAAAGGATTCAGAGAGATTTTTTTTTTGCGGCGTCTGTACTTACGATCTCTACGTACGTATGTGTATGTATCTCGCAAAACTCAAAAAGGAATATATATATATATATATTAAACACACACATATATACACAGACCCACTCTGCTACTCGGCTCGGTGAGCTCAGTTTTTTTTATTCTTATATGTCGGTAAATTGTGAAATTTTGCTTTAAAAATGATTGAATTATGTTGTTCTTACTTCCGGTTAATGCAATATTTGTAGAATTATCAACAATTTAAAAGTTGTTTAAGCTCGGCCAAGACTAATTTTTGTTTACCATAGCAACCATATTCGCTTACCTTTGAAACTTAGCAGAATAGTGGATTTGTTGCCAGTCTAGAGAAACTAAATAATTCTTCGTAACAACAAAGATAACGTCTTCTTTTATTATTACGTCTAAATCATGCTTAATCCCTTCTGGAATTAACATTTAAGTTAGTAAATTATTCTATATATTGACTCAGCATAGCGTCCAGAACAAATGAAGTCAGTTTTTATGCCTTCAATGTCTTTTTGCCGAGTGAGACCGAAAGTAAACTTTCAGTTTTGTGCACTAAAATATCTGCCTTCTTCCCCGCTGGCCGAATTGCTTGTTTCTTTGCATAGAAACTCTAATTTTAATTGTAAAAGTTGTTCTTTAAATTGTTTTTAACTGTATTTATGTTTTATATTTTTCTATATTTTACAATTTTTAATATAAATATTTTGAGATTTTAGGGCCTGCAAAATGAGAACTAAATTGATTGATGGAAATATATCTCGAATGCATTCCGGAAATAAGTTAAATGAAGCAGGCAAAAATGCGTTAATTAAAATTACGCCCGGAAGTCTGTCTATACACATCAGATTTTTAACATAAAATTCGGATTCCTACTAGATGAAAAAAAGATTTGTTTCTCATGAATCGAATCTTACCCCATAGCACAATAAAAGTGATTGTTAGAATTAGATTTAATAGAAGAAATTTTAATAACACCATTTTTAATAAAAAATACGTGGTGTATTTTAAAACTTGCAGTAGCTAAAATCCGTTTATCTATTCTTTTTAGGGGTTGCATTTTGTTCTTGTACGAGTTAAGAAGATGTAATTGCAAAAACTTTCGGATATCATATTTCACGAAAATCCATGTTGACAACTATCGAAGTCAGTAATGATCTTTCGTACATCTGTCGTGAACGGAATAAGGACTCTTTTTACCAAAGGATTAACGGGGTTAAAAGAGATTTTGCCGGACCGGGACGTCGGCTGTCTGTGTGTATCGTATCCCAAAAAAAAAAAAAAAAAAAAAAAAACTCTCGTATAACGCTAAAAACAGAACTTCTCAAGCGAAAAGTGTTTTGAAGCCTTAAACCAAGTTGATTGACGAGTTTCAAATACATGTTTCGTTCCTCTGAATCATTTGAAACTTTAAACCGCTATTCTCGTATTAAATTTTCAATTAAAAACAACATTTAAGTGGCTTTCAAATTAACCCACTCTGTTACTCAGATCCATGAGCTCAGTTTTTTTAAAATTCTTATATGTTGGTAATTTGTGCAATTTTTGCTTTAAAAAATGATTGAATTATGTTGCTCTTTTCTTTCGTTAAGGTTTTTATGACTTTAGTTAATCTGCATGTAATAGTTGTAGAATTATGAGCAATTTAAATGTTGTTTAAGTGCGGCTAAGCCTTTTTTTTTGTTTTGTTTACCATAGCAGCCATATTTGTTTACATTTGAAACTTACCAGAATAGTGAATTCAGTTTCTGTACCTTCAGTGTCTTTTTGACAAATGGGACCAAAAGTTAGCTTCAAATTTGTGCACCAAAAATCTGCCTTTCTGCCCGCCGGCCGATTGCTTATTTTTTAGCAGAATAATTTTAGTTGTCATTTTTTTTAAAAAAAAATTTAGCTGTATTTGGTTTTATATTTTTCAATTTTTAATGAATATGTTTTCAGTTTTATGTATTTTTGCTTTGCCGCGAAGTGAGAACTGAATTAATTGAATGAGAAATATATCTCTAATGAAATTCGAGGAAGTAAGTTTAAGTGAAATGCAGGAAAAAATGTGTATAATTTAATATGCCGTACAAGGAAGTCATGTGCTGTGCACATCAGATTTTTTAAATTAGAGTAAAAACTTAAATTTGAAAAAATATTTTTCGAGTAAAAAAATTTAATATATTTTGAAAACATGCAATAGATATATATGTATTACTGAAACTCGTGCCATATGATGTTTTTAGGATATTATTTTCTTAATTTTAACTTAATAAAAATATTCTTGGACTAAAAAAAAGCACATTATAAAAAATTTTAATTTTTATTTATGTAAACAATACTTCGTAAGACACTTAGCATTTTGAAAGCTATTCTTTTTAGATTAAAAATTTAAATAAAAATATTTTTCGAATAAAAAACACTTTGTAAAGTGTTTTATAAATATACAACAAATATTTCGTAATAAAAGCCATTAAAACCGTGTGTGTTTTATAGGAAATGAATTTAAATTAAAGAAAAAATTTCAATAAAACATATTTTTGAATTAAAAACATACTGTTAAGTACTTCGAAAATATGCGAGAGATATTTCATAAAAAATATTTGATTAGAGTAAAAATAGATTTCGAAGTATTATGAAAGCATGAAATAGATATTTCATAATAAAAACTTGCATGTTTTTAATATTATTTAGGCTTTAAATATTTTAAATTAAAGTAAAAAGAGTCCGCCGACGAGGATGGGATTCGAACCCACGCGGGAAGTGCCCAATTGTTCAGCCGTCCATCGCCTTAACCACTCGGCCACCTCGTCGCATTCAAAAAAGGGTTTTAATCAGAAAATTACACAAAGCTTATTGCAAATATTTGTTTAGCTGGCGTTCATGTGAGGTAAGAGTTCGAGATCGCCCTTTGATACAAAGCTAGAAAATTTATCTTTATTTACTCCTAAATTCAGTAACAGTTGTAAATTCTCTTTACACTACACTAGTAGTTTATTTCATTAAAAAATGTGCTCATCATCAACTACCCTAATTTTGAGATAAATGTATTCCTTTTATTTTTCACCAATTTTCATTATTAACAATGTTTTGTCTCAAACTGTCATCCTTGTAGTCATTATCAAAATTATAACCTTTTAAATAAGTTCTCGGTAGTGAGACAGTGAAATGACCTATGGGATTGATTGCCCGCCTAACTGACAAACACCTGACAGACAGGGACGGTGGCAGTTTTATTCCGTAGCGTTTTAGTATATATTATTATAGTAATGGAAGGTTATTATTTTTTTTAAATGCCCGAGTGTTCATACTAAACCATCATGTTTATAAACTCATAAACACTATAGTGATTAATTTAGAGTCAAACAACAAAAGTCAGCCTTATATTTTCAAATGTCACAGGACTAGTTTCGATAATTTTACCGAACCATCAACCTCAGCTGCAAAAGCGCAAATGAACGAGATAAGATTAATAAAGCCTGGACAGAGATAAGCTACTGGCGCATCTGTTTGAAGAACCAGAACTAAAACATAAAAAAAATTTTTTTTCTTTAACGCTGAAGGCAAAGATGATTTGAATAAGGGTTCGTAACACTGGGAAGAAAGTTTTTTTGTTGTTCTATTTTTACACAATTTAATTATAAATGAAATTTCTTTCTAGTTTAACGACCTAATTCCAATCCATCTTTGCCTTCAGCCTTTAAAGAAATTATTTTTTAGTTCTGGTTTCATCAACAGAAGGCGCCAGTAGCTTATCTCCTGTCCAGGCTTTCTTATCTTATGTCGTTCATTTGCGCTTTTGCAGCTGAGGATGATAGTTCGGTAAAACCATCGTTAAATAGTCCTGTAAAATTTGAAATTCTAACCCTGATTTTTGTTGTTTGACTTCTAAATTAATAATATTTGATCGGCGTGTTATTGTATCTTAACTATAGTGATTATCTAATCTTGGTTAGGGTTTGCAGCAAATAAGATGACAGGTCACCTTTGGGTGAGTTGTCTTCACAGGTAATTTTCTAAATGAAAACTACAGGAATTTTTTGTTATACTGGATCATCCTTTTGTTAGCATGTTTCCTTGCTTAGCATGTATGACTTCCACTGACAGCGGGTACAAAGTAACGGCGACCTAAAGCTAAGCCTCAACGAGCACAAAGCTCCGACTGTGTTTCGAAATCTTATGTCGACAGGTATCTTCCTCTTGAAAGTTCAGACGCAATTTCATAATGCTCGGAATAAAACTGTAGATTTATATGAATTACAAACACAACACACACACACAGGGAAAAAAAAAGAGGGGACACTCTTTTTATATATAGATGAGTTAAGTACATGTATGCATCATAAATTTGTCTCTTAACGAAAATCATTTTCAAGGAGTTCTGAATTCACACACTGCAAACTTCTGTTAAAAAATAACACTCAAAGCAACACTTAATTGATCTAATTAATTAAAGCTTATAATGACTTCTATGTCAATTAAGGATTTTTAATAAGATGAACAGAAAACAAAGAAGAATCATGTTCAAACCGAAGGAGAAATTTTCATTTTACATGGAAGCAATACATTCTACATGTCATACGATGAGGAAACCAGAATTTAATTAGGGGAGGTGTTTGCGGCTAATTAAGGGAAAAAATAAAAATTATTCTTCCATTCAAAAGTTTTTAGATTGAGACAGAAAGTTCGTTACATATATGTGTAGGTGTAAAGAAAAAAAATATTTGATTATTTATGCTTTGAAATGAGGTGCCAGAAGTATCTCGTTAACTGCGTTAAGTTGCTGCGGATGGAACTAATTAGGTACTCAATATTCTGATAATTAGCTAATTATAGCAGCTATTGAATTACACGGGTTGAATACTCTGTTATTTTTGCAGAGGGTTTCCTGTCAATTTTTGTGGAGTTTTACGTTTACAACTAACGTTAGGGAAGCAAGCTGCCAGACAGCACCTTGTTTAGAGACCTATCCGGGACCATGGTTAAGTACCAGAATGTTACAGCTGGCATCAGCGTATTATAATGAAAAGATAAGAATGCGAAAAGAAAGAGATAAAAGAAAAAAAAAGATATCTAATATCTTGAAAAGTTATTTGAAGAATATTCAAGTTGAATATTAATAGCAGATGTGTTTAAAGTGACAGCTACCGCTGTCGTGAAAATGTGAAAGTTTTCGGACGTTTGCAAATTTCTTTGGCATCCTAATTATAATTACGGATAGTAATGAAATTGTTGTTTACGTTTTGAAGTTTCCTGTAAAATT